AAAAAAAAAAAAAAAAAAAAAAAAAAAAAAAAAAAAAAAAAAAAAGCTATCAAGTGCTACCCATCAAGCAAATAAGCACCAGAAGAATACTGAAAACTGGCCCTCCGACTTCACCTGATGAGTTATATTAGAGTCATATCAAGTTCTAAAGGAAATTCTCGCTGTACATTGCAATGTTTAACACACCAATTAAGCTTTTCCAAAATTTATGCAAAGCTTTGCTTATTTGTTTTTGAGGAAAAGTAAATAAATGTCAACATGTGCGAGACGTATCTAGTGTTCCATATCCAACCTTTATAGTTGGACGAGGAGCCATTGAGCAATGTCAATAACTATTTTTCTGTTAGAGACTGCACGATCAGTACAGCATTGAGGAAGGTGCTTACATAGTTACATCGAGTCCTTGGTATCTTTTTTTTTTTTTTTCTTTCAATTTTCTCTTTTGCTATGCTATTTTTGAAGACTCTCAAACTTCAATCAATAACTAGTTTAGTTTAAAATACATATACCACGACTATATAGCTTATCACAATTTTCTCCTGAAAAACAAATAAAATTGAATAAAACATTAAAATGAAAGATATACATATGTACTTAGATGTCAATACAATGCATTGCTTGATGGCTAGTAAAAGGCATTGCCTCGAATTCATGCTTGGAAGCTGGTCTTATCACCATGGTTCAATCCGTACTGGAAACAAAAAATAGTAATTAGTTATTACATTTAAATTAAAGGACACAAGCATAACCAGCATGCTCAACTGTAATCTGTTCCCATAAATAGCATAATGGCTGTGTATCAAATTGAATACACAGGAGAAGAAAATACACTACATTCCCTAGATGATCAACGAGCAAGCAATTGAGAAAGTCTCGAAAACAAGTTGGAAAATCATAAACCTATTGATTTTTATCCTTAGACCCAAATGCTTAAAATGAAGAAATCGTTGATCTTGAGGCCGCGTAATTAACATGGGCCTCAAATTTCTAAATCCAAACCAAAATAACAAGGAAAAAAAATGATTTGTACAAAACGTTTACATATCCTTTGTTTCTATTAAGAATAGTTTAATGCAATGACAATAGACAATACTGAAAACGTAATTTTTCTAGGCAGGTGTGCATGATTGTATGCCTAACTATATGACACACCGTAGCACTCACCAGAGTCTTGTAACCAAGTAAAAAAGAAAATCAAAAGGTTCAAATGAACTAAAAATCTACAACCAAATTACTATATGCTAAGATCAAAGTTTAATTAACAATAACATGCAATATGCACAGATGCAAAAGAAAAAAAAAATTGGAACCTTTTGTAGTTAGTAATAAAAGCTCAGCCTCTCTTTTGACAAACAATTAACAAAATCACAATTTATTTTTCTTATCATTGAAAATTCCATCGAAGATTATCCAACACTATAGACTTCAAGACCAGCATTACCTTCTCTCTCATCCGTGAGCTCCAAATATCGGAGTGATTTCCTCTATTATCACCTTTGCTAGACCCAGATGGTTGGCCAGATTGAGGATTAAGTAGGGGCTCCCAACTTCTACCCCGAACATCATATTCATCCTCGTAATCAAAATCTTCTCTATGAGTAGAAACTGTGGCTCGTAAAATTAATGCCAGTAGTAGAGATAATGCCTGAGGTTGGCAACAAGAAAAATGAGCAATAGCAACTAAGGGAGGAATGGGATAAAGCAAAATCCAGAAAATGCTTTACATCTATACAACATGGTTATTATATGGTTTGTTATGTTGTTAATTGATATTATTTTTACGAAGATACAAGCAAAATGCTGGAATTTTAAGACTAATCGTTATAGCAAATTTCTTGTTGCCTTTATAACATGTAAAGACAAAGGCATTAAATATGCTAGGCACAGAGTTGAGGTAGGATTTTGTCCTGTTTTTTCCGTTTCAACCTTAATAAAGTAAAAAGAGTGGCATATTTTATACCAGGTTCCCCTTCCCATACTTTCAATATCTGTCAACAGAACATTAAAATCTAAAATCAAAAGCAGAAACTATTATCTCAAGTCCAACTAACGTGTGCGCAGACTGGGGACAATATCCTCCTAAATGAAGGAAGGGACAACAAGAGGTAAAGATAAATTTTCTAGGGAGAAGATTCAACACACATTAATAGCCCATTGACCAATGATGCTTTACTCTTTGTTTGTTTTTAATAATTAGTATTTGTTATTTAGGATAAAATGATCATAACTCAAAATTAATAATTATTTTATTTATAAATTGCAGTTGCTTAGTTAAAAATACAAATAATTAAAATTGAATAATAATAATAATAATAATACAATAACATTGTTTATTACTCCCGTGTCTCATATTATTAGTCATTTTTTAATGCCTCAAATTATTTGTCACTTTAAAAAACTAACAAAACATTAATTATATTTTTCAACAAAAGCCCTGTATATCTCACCTAAATACTTACGTAAGTAGATTGACAACTACACTAACTATTTTAATAAGGATACTTTTTGTCAAAAAAAGAGAGGATATTTTATCATAGTAAATTGTACAATCAACAATGTTCTTAAAAAGTGTATATTAAGAAAACAAATAATGAGACAAATGGAATACTTCATTGTAAATGTTCTGTTGTGAATGGTACTATAGTTTTAGAAAATTAAATGATTGATTCATCTGAACATTTACCTAAACTAATAATGTTACTTAGAAAGAACTCGTAAACTCCATCACCATTTCTCTCACACAGTAACATCAATACTACCAATAATTCTTTTAATAAGAACCTGTTGGGTAGTTTGTCTTCATCTTTTTTACAAGACTCCCTCCAAATTGCCTAATGCTTTTTTTTTTTACAAAAAATATCCTTAAATGGAGATGCATTAATTAATTAGGTAGAAAGAAATTAAAAAAAAAAAATGAAATCCCAATAGTTTCACAGATATTTTTGACAAGTTATCACCACTAAATAAACTAAATTTCTTAATTATTGTGAAGTAGTTAAAACTTAAAAAGTTCCTATACACAGAACCAGAGGTAGTATTTATCAAATTATGAATGGAGCGTTTTAATCTTTGTGAGGATCAGTGCAAAAAAGTGTTCACACCACAAACATTTTCGTACCAAAATAAATAAAAACACCTATATCAGAATAATCTTTAATTCAAATGGACATTGACAAATAATTAAAGGTCCATGTTTGAATCAGGTTATTTTTATTATATTAAAAAAATTGCACTTAGAAAGAAAAAATAAAGACTTTCCAGTTTTCAACTAAGATATTAATGTTTTGGTAACAAAGATTCATACCTTATTTGGAATCTTCAAAATAAATGTATCACTAGCAATTCATGAATTTCAAAGGACATTTTGGTTACCACATAAAATAAACCAATCAAAACTTTAGAACACAACCAATGTAATAATCAAAGCAATAGTTTGGAGAACATAATGACATATAATCTAGCAAAATAGCAATGATGCTATTAAATGGTTCGTAGTAGTAATTTTTTTTTATCATAGTTCGTAATTAGTAATGAAAAACAATTTAATCCCAAGTTCTAAAACCAGATTCAACACACAGCTTCTCTTTTTTATTATTAATTATTTGTTAGGTAAAATTACAGAAACCAAATTACCCAGCAGCTGCCATGATTCAACTAACACGTCCAAATTCAATTGAAGTTAATGAACTAAAATTAATATGTGGACGGTGGCACATCAAATTCTCCTGCATTAACTAACTATTAAGATGTCTGAACAAAAGAACATTGACATCTACATGCAACAAGTTATGAAGGATTCCATAAATTTATGAGTACTGATGAAGCAATACCAACTTCAGAAGATAATAAATGAATAACACATGTTGAACATTAACATCACAGGCGTGAACTCTGAAAAATGGACTAATGCACTACAATTCATTTACCAAAGAGTGGACAAGAAAAAGGCCAGATACAGATACTAACACCAAAACAGGAACAATGATGAATATACCTGAACCACAAGCACAGTAATGCCAACCCATGTACAGATATCTATATTATCTTCAATGAAAGCTCGAAGCTCATCAAGTTGACCGGTTGGATCGAATGGAATATCCTGCAAAGACAACAATTAACATGCTATAGGCCTCAAAAAGGGGACACAAACATAAAATCTACTGCAACTAAGTTTATGGAGAACGTTGGGGAACAATAAAGTAAGAACCTTTTCCCAATCACTATCAAGAGCAATGAATCCCACCAGGGAAGCTTCTAGCAGAAGAAGCATTGCAACGAGTAGAGTGTACTAGCATCGTTAAAAAGGTCAAGGATTGAAAAGGGAAACAAATAAAATAATTAAAATCAAAAGTAAAGTAAAAAAGCTACTTCAAAGAATTACACAAATTTACTCTCAAAAAAAAAAAAAAAAAAAGATCAACATATTTTCAGCCAAGCTACTATATTTTTCTTAGGTGAACCAAAAAATTAGAGATTAATCTCTCGAAGTTCTGAGATTCATTTACGGGATGCATTCTCCCCACACGTGTTTTTCTATATGCATTGTTATCAGTGAATTACACCACAGCAATAGCCATACTACTAAACATTTCAATTTGAAAGGGATACAAAACACAAGCAGCAACCATTGATCATTTCAGCTGCCATGCAGCCCAAGAAAGAAATACATAACACCAAAACTCCCACTCCCGTGAAAGCGTATATGAACCTGTCTCATCAAGGAAAAAAGAAACAGGGTTAGCCTTATCAACCAAGGAATAAAAATGAAAATGAATAACATTAAAATGCATTTCAGCATAGAATTAGAATATATCGCAATCTCATCATAACTAATAAAAACAATAATAATAACATAAAGATTAGTGTAGTAACTAGGCGTGAAAGTAGTTGATATCATTTAATGAATGAGAGCAAGTTGAGTAGTAGTGAAAATAAAATAAAATAAAATTGAATAGAAGAAGAAAAGTAACCAAGGAGCGGGTAGGTTGATGGAATTGAAATATAAGGGGAAAGGGTGAGGAAGAGGAGGAGGAGGAACACGATGGTCCCATTCGTTGAACATCCATATGCAATAGAGGAGAATGGAAATGCCAATGAAGGATTGAAGGAAATTCAGGAACTTGAGAATGAAAGCAACCGAAACGTGGCAAAAATTGAAGCGCATCTTAGTTTTAGATTAGGGTTCCTTGCGATGATTTCTGTGAATTCCAATAATCATCACTTTCACAATTTCTATTTTATTTCATATTTTGGTTTTTCTGTCGGGTACTCTGCATAATTAGACAAAAATAAAATTGGTTAAAAATTCAAAATAAAAAATAAAAAATAAAAAAAAGGGTTCACCACACAGGTCAATGAAGAAAAAAAAAATACAAAATAATTGTTGTAGTACTTTATTGGATTGAATGTAGATTACATTAAACGTTAATTCTTTTAGAAGCAACCCCTAACCCTAAGTCATTGGAACCTCAGCATTTCCTAAAACACGAGGTTCTCAAAATAACAAGACATGAAAACGGCTCATGTTCATGTATTTACCAAAAACTTACTTTATTTTATTTTACTGGTTATGCTAATCAGTGTCTCAAACACAGTAGTTCAGGAATGTTAAAACTTTATTAAAAATTATATTAAAATTACATGACAAGTATACAGATTTATTTTTTAATGAAAATTTTCTATTTTAATTTATAATTAAAATATTTTTTTAAGTTTTAAAGTTTCACTTATTTTACTTTTTAATTTCTATAATTTAAAATAAATATTTTAATCTTTTTTTTTTTTCATCTCTGGAGTATCCACCGCCGACAGCAGTGACTAATCTCCTCGCTACGTTTGAGGCACCTCAAAGGGTGGGATAACTGGCCCCAAGAGACTTTACTTAAGCTGAATCAACCCCTACCGCTGAACTACACGCTTGGAGTTTAAATATTTTAATCTTTATATTTATTTTTTAATATTTTTTACGTTTTTATAATGCTATTTATTTTGTATTGATAATATAGAAGTTTTCAATTTTTCAATAATATATCTAACAGATAATAAAAGTAAAAAAAAACATATAAAGTGTCGAAAAACATAATTTACAATAATTTCAATATCAAATATATAAAATTAAATTATATTAATAAAAAAATGATGTTACAAAAACAAATAATGATAAAGATTAAGAGATTAAAAAAACTACAAGTGTAAAATTAAAAAAAATATATATATATATTATAAATTATAAGATCTAAGAAGTGAGATAAGTGAAATTATGATACTTAAAAAGGTATTTTAACCTTTGCTTTATTAACAAATACCAAGAAAATTGGTTAGCATGTTTAATAGAGTTCGAAATTACTGTATCAAGTATTCAAGTTATCATGATCGAAACGTATTCCAAAATAGAAGGTTTTTAATGCAAATCCGAAAAAAAAAAGTATATTAGTACTAACGATATATTTTCTTAGAACATATTTAATTTTGACAAGTTAATAATTGAAATTTATAAGATATAAATTTAAAAGAATTATTAAATTTTTGCAAATTTTATTCTTTTATGTAATTTATTTGATATTTTATTTATGCAAACTATTTATATCTTATTATTATTAATTCTGCCTAAATAATTTTTATGGATAATATGTTAAGAAAAGACATATCTATAATAAAATATATATAAAAAAATTATATTCATATATTTATATTTTTAAATACCAACTTTAAATATTTATTTGTATAGAACATATACAAAATAATAACTATTTTTTAAAAAGATAGTAATTATTAACTTATTTTAAAAAATATTATTTTTTATAAATTTGCAAAGTGTCTTTTTTCTTGTTAGTAAATAATAACATAATAAATATTTTATAATGTTATTCCATGTAAAATAAGATAGATTTAAAAATTAACTTAATTAAATTAGGCATGACAATCTAACCTGTTCCATGGGTACTTGTCCGAACTCGCCGCAATTTGAACAGGAAAAACCCGTGTTTATTGGGTTCGGGTTGAAATTTTTCCTGATTGATAAAATCGGGGACGGGGACTGGAATGAGAATGTTAATACCTGCCCCACCCCACCCCATCCCACATAATTAAAAAATTATTTATATATATATATAAACTAAAATTAGAAATATTTATATGTAAAAAATTATTATTATTTTACTTTTCTTTTATTTTTTAAAAATTTGTTCATATTTATTTATAAAAAATAAAAAAAATATATATATAAAAAAAATAAGAGCGAGAGCGAGGAAACCTAAACCTACAGAAACGGGGATGCATACCCAGATTTTATCCAATAAATATGAGGGGAGGCAGTTTAAATCTACGCAGGCGAGAATGAGAAACATAATAAAACCCACCCACTCCTGCCTCCGTACCTAAATCAAATAATGGGTTTGAATAACTTTGTTGTAAACATTCATTACAAAATTTTACATAAGTTTATTAGATGAGCTAATTAAAAATTTTCCATGAGGATAATTTTGTTAGGAAAAAAACAAAAATATTTTTGAGAAGTGAATTGAATTGATTGGCCGCAGAGATCGTTGGGATATGATATGACGGAGACGGGCTGTTTGCCTGAATTAATGTGAACAGCCAAGAATTGGAAAACATATCCCAAAAAAAGTTTAAAAATGAAAAAATAAATAAAAAAATATTAAATGTTCAAGAGATAGACTAAATCCCAAAGAATTGTGGTTTCCTTCTCTTTTTTTCTTCTTGTTAGCTAATGAATAATTTAACTTTTTCGAAGCTTTTGAAACTTATTATGAATAGTAAAATGAAGAAATGTAATTAAATAAAAAACTAAATATTAAAATTTAATTAAATTTACAGTTTGTTATAAATATTTATAATTTTAATAGTTTATTTTTTAATTGATTATCGCAAGTTTGTAATACAATCCTTTTTAAGCACAGTTAAAAATTTATATACTCAAACCAACCAAGAAAAAAATTAGTATTCATCGGTAGCTTAACAACCGATTTAATGGTGGAAAAGAAAAACAATCGATTTAATATGTAACAAGTAATGTGGTGATTTTTTTAAAATAATGTCAGCTATAGTATTTTAGTTATTGTTAACCAATGTGGTATTTTTTCGGAAAAGAAAAAAACTGATGTATTATAATACCATTTACATTAGTCTAACTCTGAAAACATGTCAACAAAATATATGTATATAAAAAATAGAGAATGAAATTATTAAATTTAATTATTTATTTTTTAATCAATAACTATTACTTTATATTTTATTGTTTAAACTACATCTTATAGGATAAAAATGGAGCCATGCATGCTTGAATGAAGTGCCAAACCATATCACAATACCATATTTCTCATACACTCTTCTCTTTAGTCCTTAGTTGAAGTTCATAAATTTATAGATTTCTTCTGAAAACCCAACTTCAGATATATCATTCTACACAGTTTTTATAAAACTTTAGTACCTTCACATGAAATATTTAGTAGTGATTTAGGCTTGTCATGTTTCACAAGCGTGACTATAAGAAATTGCATGATATATTCGTACCAAAATTATTTAAATCCCGTCCATCTCTAAGAAGAAGAAAAAAAACACATTAACATGCTTGAAATCTCAGAATAAAAAGTGCATCTCAAATAATTGTCTAAATTTTTTCCATTACGAAAAGTATTCATTCATCACATTACTTACATGAGTGTCGTAAATAATAAAACTATAGATTTATACTATATGAGTGCCAATATTCTCTTATAATAATGAATGAACCACCAAGCAAAATTATTGAGAAGGGGGACCCAAAACCTGTGCAGTTTTTGGTACAATGTACTAATTATGGATTATGAAGAGACATGTTGGCTCATTTTTATGAAAGTGTTCTCCAAGTGAAAAATAAGTGTTTATGATACTACAAATTTCAATGTACCAAAACAAAAACAAAAACAAAAAAGTACCAATAATTCTATTTATTATTGTGAAGTAAGCACGTTTGAATTTCATATGAAGCATGCATTACAGCATAGCATGATTAGTTAATTAATAATAATAGGATACACAGATTTAAGAATAAAGATATTTGAAATGGTAGTATATATATAGTTAGCATTATTGAGCTTGTGATTAAAGATGTAAACAAATTGAATGGTTTGTGAACTAGTTAAAATAGATATGTTAAATACTGCATTTGTTTATGTATATAAGATTTTTTTTTTTTCGTCCCTGGAGTATCCACTCCCGACACATTTGTTTATGTATATAAGATTTTTTTTTTTTCGTCCCTGGAGTATCCACTCCCGACAGCAGTGACTAATCTCCCCAAGATTTAACGCGGCTGCATACACAAGGCAGGATTCGAACCCCTGACCTTGCTTAAGCGTGAATCAACCCCTACCGCTGAACCACACGCTTGGGGTTTTATGTATATAAGATTCAATTATTTAATTTATTAAAATTAAAAAAAGTTAATTTTTTTTAAAGATAGGAAAGATTACAAAGATGGTCGCAATAAGGATTGAACATAGGTCCTCATGCTTCTAAGAGTAAAATTTATAAAAACAAAACAGTAACTATTAACTAATTTTTAATCAAGATCATATATATGTTGTAGAAAAAAATATTAGATCAAATATATAAAGTTATTTAGTCTATATATTTTTTATAACAAAGCTCTGATTAAATAGATAAAAAAATATTATATAACTAATATTCTTAGACAACTAATTCAATAAACAAAAATATAAAGTAGCTATGAGAAAAATATTTCATATATTTAATATTTATGCTTCAAGTAATTAGAAATATTTAATAACTTAAACATTTTTAATTGAAACTTTTAAAACACTCAATAATAAAATCATTTTTTATTGTGTTCAATTCATTTTATATCATTATATAAATTATATATGTAAGTTTTACTAATTAGTTTGAGTCTAACCCACTGAATTTCAGCCTAATATTGAAGAAACTTTGAATGATTTACATAAAATTTTAGGTATTTAAAGCAAAATAAAAAATAAAAATTAAATCCTTAATTTTTTCATTATTTTTTTGTAAATAAGTTCTTAAAATTAATAAAATCATCACAAATTGTTGTTTATTCTTGTGGTTTCAAGTTGTCAATAATTAATTTCAGAGACTTAATTACAATATATATATATATATAATCAATGTCTCGGTTATAATTTTTAAAAAAAATTTAAAGACATTAAAAAAATGTTATAAATTCGGGAACTACTGATATATAAAACCTTATTTCATTAATAAGATGTAATTATCTATTTAAGAA